AGGGTTAGGGTTAGGGTTAGGCCGGAGCTGGTCGTATCTCGAAAAATTCGTAAGGAGGGGCGTTCATAACTAGAGGTACCACTGTAATGTGATGGTAAGAAATGGAAGATCCCATCGAGGATTGTATCCCCTGATTTCAACTTACTTTGTGGCTCTGCTGACTGGCTTGTGCAAATTGATGCGTTTCTCTCTGCGGCTGGGTGATTCCCGTGCGGTTTCTTTTTCCAAAAGGGATATTCCTTCATTGCCCCGTCGATCCTCTTCAACCGCAATGCTGTGACTGCAGATGTCTTTGAGGCAGCGCTCGATGGAGAGCGTCCCGGAAGTTCTGCTGTGGCCCGCAGTGCCATGATGAAGGTAGGGATTCTCCTTGGAAGGAGAAGCAGGAAGCCGTAGGAGAGCGGGGCAATGTGTGGAAGGTTGCTGTGACTGGGGTCACCCAATAAACTATGATTAGAAATCCTGGTTTGCAAACCAGAGTGGCTGGTTCACACAACTTGCTCCCCCAAAGCTGAGGAAACACTGGGATGCGATGTGTGAATCGGGCCTTGAAAAGTTTCCAGTTCTTGGAAGGGTAGCAAGCAGGAAGCAAACTACCAAGCTGTGTAGATTTGGAAACACGTAAATCTTATAACAAAGCTCCTCCTCTGTCATCTCCTTCTTGTTGAGCAACTTTCCGGTAAGTTGCAAGTCAGAAGTTTTCATGATAGGCCAGCCGTTGGTTGGATCCACACAGTAGCCTCCGCGTAGATCCAAGAAATGTAATACGTTAATGGGAAGAAAAATAGATAAACAGAGAGAATTTAACAAGAATTAATTACCAAAAAATAAAAGAGAGGAAAAGGAAAAGGATGATGATGATGATGATGATGATGATGATGATGATAAATTATTGGCTTTCTGACTCTTGCCTTTTTATACATCTGCTGATTTGCAATATTTGTAGACATTTAGGCCTCCTTAGAAGCAGACTAAAGTGATTATATTTGCCACGCTGCGTGATCTGTTGTATGCACGGGAACCATTTTCGCTTACTAACGCCCTTCCTCTCTGCCTTTCAGGATTCTTCGTTCTTCCAAAAATATGAGATGGACTTGGTGGAACCCCCCCTGGGTGAGGGAAGCTTCTCCGTGTGCCGCCGTTGCCAACATCGACAAAATGGGATGGAGTTTGCGGTCAAAATCATCAGCAAAAGGTAGCGGCTTTTATTTCCCTTCCCCAGAGGTGCTTTTGCTCCCAGCTGAGCCGCGCAGGGCCAGGAACTGGTTCTTTAACTTTAAACTGGTTCTTTTCATGCTGAGCTGATCGCTGATTTCTGGCACGGGAGCCCCCACCCTGATGCAGCACACTGAATGCCCCAGGGAGGCTGTGAGCGGTGGCATTTATATACATGACCGCAGCCAATCAGGAGGGTCCGATGGAAGCAGCCAATCAGAAGCGGTTTCTAACTGTCCGCCTTTTAAAGGGACAGGCCGGATTCGGAAATGGGACATTGGCGTTTCCGTAGCCAAGCATGCAGCTGAAAAACCTCCTGTACAGCCAGGGGCTGAGAGTAAAACCCTGAGCCAGATTTAAGTGGGTGGCCTCGGTTATTAATATAAGACAGAAAGGACAAATCCATTTTCAATCTTATTGTTCCCCTGCGTTCGTGAGAAAACGACACATGGCGTGGGAAGAGAGGGAGAAGTTTTACCTCCCGATTTGACTATGTGCAAATCCACGAAATGAAGAGTTCCCCATTTGGCCGTCAGGTCTGACCTGCCTCAAGCGGCGGTTGCGAGATTAAAACTGGCGCGGCGAAGAAAGTGGATAGCTTGAGGAAGGAATGGCGGGATGGATTATAAGGGCAACGAGGTGAAATTGAATTGGCCGCAGCGGAAGATCGCATTTTCCTCCCCCTTTTTTCCTGGTCCAGGATGGAAGCGAATAACCAGCGAGAAGTGGCAGCTTTGCAGATCTGCGAAGCCCACCCAAACATCGTCAAGCTTCATGATGTCCATCACGATCAGGTACGGTCCTTGTCCTTCCAGAGGAAGCATCTCAAGAAATCCAGCACGGTCAATGATGGAGTTGGACCAAGACTGGGGAGACCCAAATACAACTCCAGCCTCAGCCATGGAAGCTCCCTGCAGGACTCTGGGCCGGCCCCTCCCTCTAGGGCCACCAGTCTACCTCACAGGGCTGTTGTTGGGGGGAGAAACATAGGAAGAGGAAGCACGATGTATGCCACTCAAAGTTCCTGAAGGTGGGCTAGATACAACCTTCCCCAAGGTCTTGCTGATGTGTTGGACTACAACTCCCAGAATTCCCCAGCCAGCAGGGCAGCAGTCTATAATGGGGGGACAGCCAACAACCCCTGGATTTGCCTGGATCCTTTATTTCTGTGTCACTCCCCAACTCCGCCCAAGGTCACAATGCATTGACCTTTAGTAGACTCCGTTAACTGAAGGGGGTGGCTGGTGACTTGAGGATGCTCTCTCCATCTTTTAACTTCGTTTTTGTAAGTTTTTTTACCGTTTTTATGGTTTTTATTTGTGAGCCGCCTAGAGTCACTTAGATAGCGAGATGGGCGGCGTATAAATTTGATTTATAAATAAATAAAACGATGTTAGAAATGGGTCCAGTTGAAGAAAGGGGGCCCGAAACATCCAGCGTCACCCCTCCTGGGGATGTCCAAAGCTAAAAATGCATCTGGGCATGTTCAAAGGATTTGCAGCTGCTCCGAGCTGACTAGGAGGTGTGGGAATGGAGGGCGCCTGGTTGGAGGAGGCTGTTTTGGGCCCAGCCCTGGCTGAGTTTAGCCCCTTCCCTTCTCCGCAGTACCACACATACCTGGTGATGGAACTGCTGCGGGGTGGCGAACTCCTGGACCGAATCAAGAAGAAGCAACACTTCAGCGAGTCGGAAGCCAGCCAGATCATGCGCAGCCTGGTTTCCGCCGTCAGCTTCATGCACGACTCGGGGGTGGTGCACCGGGACCTCAAGCCCGAGGTACCTTTTCCTAGGGAAAGGGAAGGCGGCATTCCCACAGGGCAGGGAAGCAGCTGGGTGAAAGAGCAAGACGTTGCATTTGCACAGCTTGAACAGCTTAGGTTTAACCTAAAGGGGTGTGTGTGTGTGTGTGTGTGTCTGTCCCCTGAGCATGTTGTGAACCAAGCTGCTTAGATTAAGGTGTTGTTTGGTATTTTGTGCAAATCCAGGAAAGGGGGTAATTTGGTAGCTGGGTTGTGTGAATGTGGATCATCTGAAAATCTCTGGCCTGCTCGCTTGTGAATACCCTGGTCCACATAGGGCAGTGTTGTCCAAACTTGGCCACTTTAAGATGAGTGGACTTCAACTCCCAGAA